CTCTCTCTCTCTCTCTCTCTCTCTCTCTCTCTCTCTCTCTCTCTCTCTCTTTCTCTCTCGCGCGCGCGCGAATAATTGCGCACTCCTAAACGCCACGCTGTGCAGCCAATAACGACTAATGAAAATTCAATATTTGTTAACGCAAACCGAAACGAGAATCGCACTACCGCGTGACTAAATTAAATAGGGCAAGTGCGCGTGCCCTCGTGTGAAAACACACCCTCGTCCGACACGCATCGAGAATATTACATGCAACGTACGAAATCGACGAAATGACCCGGCCAGCCGTATTGCAGTTACCATCCGTTTCGATGCATTTATCGACCGCAAGATGCATGACGCGAGCGAGAAAAGCGTTTTTCCATAGAGTAAAGCGTGCTGCGCGCTCGGCGTTCGCTTCATATTTTGCTCAGAGTGCTAACAGTGTACGTGGTGCTAGCAGCGATCGCGATTAATGAGAAAACTTTACAGCGAAATTCGGTCAGTAGCACCGGCTCTTGTAACATTTTTATATGCGGTATGTTAGGTAGGAATAAAAATAGAATAAACGCAAAACGAGACAGATGATACGTTAATCATGCCTGTTGTAATTGGCGGCAATTAGAAACGGAATGACAATTTATTGCCTTATCAAAAGAAGTTTTCTCGAAAGCCGAATTATGCGTGTCTCTCTCTCTCTCTCTCTCTCCTTTCCTGGGTATATTTTTTTAATTATCAAAACACTGATTTATAATAGTTCTCATTTGTTGACCTGTAATACTTGTAAAACTCATCCCCAGCAAACGCGCAATTACGCGTTATCGAATTTCATTTATTTTAACGCCTAAATTAGGCGCGTTCGCACTTGTCTGATACAATGCAGCCGCAATGCATCGTGTTGGACAAGTGCGTCTTCATTAATTACGATTATGATCAGTTCTGGAAATATCAATTTGTGTTAAGTGCGCTTCAGCAAATATTAACATTCTTGTTCTAGATAATCTAGATAATCGTAGCTGAAACTAGAAACTGCGATCTAGGAGGAGAGAAAGGGTCGCTTAAATTACGGTCAAAGTTAACCATCGGCAATTCAAGTTGCACTCGCTTTCATTATTCAAATATCGCTATGTCTCGAATTCTCGCTGCGCCGATTAACGCAACTACGCGAAACTCAATATTGGAGATGCCCAGCCTTTCAATTCGCATTCTTAAAGGCAACTTTAGACAAAGAAATCCGGTAGACATAAATCTGTGAGAGTAAGGAACATGCACGGAAAATAAAACATTTTCGTTGGTGTAACTGAATTTTCCGTTATCTGGTGACCAGATGAAAAACTCGGTTGTAAGAACAAAAAGATAGTAGGAGGTTTCTACTCTGTCAATTGCTCTCTCAGTTACCGAGTTTTAATGCAGCTGAATGTTCAGACGAATGTTTTCGGTCAAAGTAACAGAGATATTATTTCTCGTCAGCGAATTGTCTGCCTGGTACTCATTTAGTTACACGAGCTAAAATTTCTTTTTCGCGCGTGTCGCTACACTTTGCAAAAATATAACGCAGCGAGCTTGCGTGTCTCGATAAACAATTCACATCGCGTAACTCTCGCAAAACAATTTTCAAATAGAAAGTACTCAACAATTTCGATTAAACACCGCGCAAAGGTGAAGCCACTTACGAAACTTGTCGGCACGCGTTTGTAATGTTTACAACTCTAGATTGAAACGATTCAATCGAAGTCAATATCATTTCATTGAACGTTTCAATCATTTCAAGGTACACATTTGGATGTCGACACTTTTTCGTATGAACGTAATGAACGCTACACACGGGGACGTTTATGAGCAACAGCATTATTATATGACTGCGGGGGGTGCATCGTCGGGCGGGTAATTTCTTCATTTTCATGTCATGTAAAAAAAATGTCCATTCTCCAAGGGTGGATCCCAACTTTTTCATAAGGGCAGTATCTGAGAGTAATCCTCGTGAGATTCCGACAGGCTGTATCCTTGAGCGCGATGCGGCCAAATGCGGCTCGCTGGCCTCATAAAGAAAGAGAGAGAGAATATAACGAAGGTATATTAAGTTTTTGGAAGGTATAGAAACTCTTTATAAACTAGCGTCTTGTGATAATGTAAAAGTAAGGTGCGCGTCAGAACGTCGCAAGAGTTTGGATAGAGAAGCTTTCGCGATAACGACGAAGACAGTTGTACTCGTGACGGGCGTGTAATGTTGGAAGCTTGTAACGCTCGCTGTGTTATAACTTCCGACCACCGGGAGCAACAATGCTGTGTCGGGTTTAAAGTTCCAGGAACGGCAATATCACGCAATAACAACTCAACAACGCGACGCGTAAATAAATAAAAAAATACCTAAACTCG